CATAGAAGCCATACATAATCATTGTTGAGCACTCGAGAAAATAAATACAAATTTTTATTTTTTTTTTCGTTTTGTAACACATTAAGATAGAAGGGTAAAATGGTCTATAACAGTTCTTAAATGAATAACCTTTTTTTTTTAATATCACTTTAAGATAGACCGGTAAAATGGTCACATTTTGTTCACTCCAGAAAAGAAATATACGTTTTTATTCGGTATCACTTTAAGATAGACCGGTAAAATGATATATTACAGTTCTCAAATGAATAATTTTTTTAATATTACTTTAAGATAGATGTGTAAAACGGTCACGCGGTTTGTTCACCTCAGAAAAGAAATAATTATTGTTCAGCAGTTTCTTGGAACATACATTATTTATCTATACAATATTTGATCCTTTCAGCATAAAATGGGAAAAAGAAACACGCCCCTCTATATATCATAAATTAATATAATTCTTCCCTTTTCAAAAAGATGATAAAATTATAAAGATCCGATTCTCTTTTAACATTGACACAATTATACCACTATTTCATAAAAGTATTTATTTTTAGAACCGATATAAAAGACGAGGGATCCACTAGTACAGAAAGCATGTGTTGATGCTGTTAAAATCATTAACTGATGCGGGTAGTGAACCGTACAAAAAAATATCGCATAAAAAAATACCTTAATTTAATTATGCGGTTCTAAAACCGTACTAAAAATAGCCAAAACCGCCTCAAAAATAGCCAAATTCGCACCAAAAAATTACCAAAACCGCCTCAAAAAATAGATAGCTAAAACCAATTAACATGTTTGTCAATGCACACCACGCTCCTTATGAAGCTTTATTTTTCTTGTACTTAGGTATGTTCGGTGAGTGTTTTTCAATCAATGGTTCAATCGTAATATCTTAATCTAGTTTTTGAACTTTCTATCTATGATTACATCAACTTTCCTTTCCTCAACTGCAGGTCAGTTAGAGGTTCTAGTTGACCCTTTCATTGATTTTAGTTTCTCCAAAAATGGTGGTTTCAATCTTTGCAATTTCTTTTTCTCCACCAATTAAAAATCTGTTCTTCGAAAATCACATTTCATCGAAGTTGTTTTCAATTTCTTTTTCGACAAATCTTAAAACTCACTCTGCAAAAATTAGCTCCATGCCCATTAAATGAAAGTCACTGAAGCAAACATCATAAGTCTTTGGACCCTTTTTTGGAGATATATCACGGAAGAAGAGACATCTGCAGAGATTCAGAAAAAAAAAACATCGTTAAAACTTAAAATCAGACATCCATTTATAATTAATAAGAGAAAAATGAAGTCACAAATGTCATTAATGAAAAGAAGATAAATAATGGATAAACCTCACATGCATTTTCAAGCATGAAATCGACAAATCTATAATTATGAGAAGAGGCTGCATCTCCAGCGTTATATAAAAGAGGGAAAGATTGAACGAAAATTTTGAAAAACATGAAAATTTTGAATGAAATTTGGTGGCATCTAGTGCAAAATGAAAAATTCGAAAGAAATTTGTAGAAGAAAGATTAATGGTGCGGTTCAATATTTTTTAGTGTGAATTGTTTTTGAGTGCGGTTCAATGTTTTTTAGTGCGAATAATTTTTGATGCAGTTGTAATTGTTTTTTGGTGCGGTTTCCACATGATCTTTTGATGCGGTTTTGGGAAACCGCATCAAAAAATGCTTTAATGGTGCCATTTTCGGAAACCGCACTAACAAAACTATTTTATGGTACGGTTCTCTTACTTTTTGATGTTATAGATATTTAATAAAACGGTTTTAGAAGGGACCGCATCAAAAAATTAAAACCACTCATACTATTAAATGACTTGTGTACTAGTGATCAAACGAAATGGAGCAACTTGGCATCATTTATATAAGTTCACGATTTAATAATCTAAGTGAGAAAATTTCATTGCATAGTCGCTAAATTATAAACCCAAATATATCATTTCACTGTGGATCTGTGTTGGATTATGTGTGTCTTTTTGGGAGTTTATATCACATTAGCTTGAGGACCAAAAAGTATCACGAAATGGAGAAATATATAATAAATACAAATTTCCAGGACTTGTAAGTCTTTGAACTTCTAATTTGGGGCAGTTTATTCCAATTCTTCATCTTTAATTTGTCTCGTAGAAATTTCCATGAGTTGTACGTCTTTGAACTTTAATTTGGTTCTAATGTCATGGAAATTAGGTATTGTATTCTCCACATGATGGGGCCACCAATTTGAAGCCATCCACTAGAATCCTTCATCTTCACAGTCAAGAGTTTGAGACTATATATACAAGTCATCATGGGGGGGCAATTCATGATACGCATCAACACAAATAAGAAAATATCAATATTTATATCTACGTACATCATGCATCCTTGTGTTTTTACAATTTTGTCACTTATGATGCTACGCCTTGAAACAGTATATGGCTACCACCAATTGGTAGCGGTGGAAGGGGGAGGAGGAGATGATACTAATGGTGTAATGAACAAGTGTTTGGATATGGAGAGACATGCTCTGCTTCTTTTCAAAGCTCCCCTTCAAGATCCTGATGGCAGTCTCTCAACATGGAGACCTGATGAACATGACTGCTGTCAATGGAAAGGAGTCACCTGCAACAACCAAACAGGTCATGTTACAGAGCTTGATATCAGCGACTATAATCTTAGAGGTGAGATTAGCCATTCATTGCTTAACTTAAGCTACATAAACTTTCTTGATCTTTCCTACAATTCTTTTCGTGGAACCATTCCCACCTTCTTTGGTTCCATGACTCGATTAAGAGACCTCAAACTCAATTCCAATAATCTTAATGGAACTGTCCCCAAGTCCATTGGTTCTTTGACCAAATTGAGGTACCTTGACCTTTCTTATAACTCTCTTTATGGAACCATTCCTCTAGAGTTTGGAAATCTCACCTACCTGCAAGAGCTTTTCCTTGAATCTGTTGGAAGATGTGAAGTTGAAAACCTAGATTGGTTGTCTCCTCTATCCCATTTGAAGCAACTTGGGATGGATGGGATTTCCCTAGCCAAACAAAATCATTGGGTAGATATAATTTTGAGTCTGAGAAAAATATCATATTTAAGTTTAGAGGGATGTGAGCTGTCACAGGTCATGTATCCATATTCTTCTTCATTTCTCAACTCTTCTTCATCTATCGAATCCCTTCTACTTGCAGACAACAATCTCACCTCATCCATGTATCATTGGCTGTTCCCATTAACAAGCAATAAGCTTCACTTTCTTGATCTCTCTAGCAACATGTTAGATGAGATACCCAAATATCTTAGTAACCTTTGTAGTTTGGTAAGTTTAAGATTTGATATGAACTCTGCTGTTGTCAAATTTCCTGGTTTTCTGTACAACTTGTCTGGATGCACATCACTTACATTGCAAGACTTGGATGCTTCTTATAACCAATTTATAGGGTCCTTGTCTGATGACATCCAAAAGTTTTCATCCCTAAGACATTTATGGGTATCTCATAATCACTTAAATGGCATTATAAGTGACAAAGTGTGGGAACTACCCATGCTTGAAGAGATTGATGTTTCTTCCAATTATTTTAGAGGTTCCATCTCTAAAAACATTGGAAAGTCGAAGGCTTTTGAGATATATCTTTCAGAAAACCTACTCCAAGGAGTTCCTTCCACAGATCACATGTCAAACCTTTCTTATGTACAGCTTATTGATATGAGCTCTTGCAATAATCTAGGGCCTCATTTCCCCAAATGGGTTCAAACACTGAGAAATCTTACCCGTCTTCATATTGCCAATTCCAAAATTTCAGACACAATTCCTCCGGAGTTTTGGGACACGTGGCCTTCTCAATTAAGATATTTGAATCTCTCTTCCAACAACATCAGCGGTGAAGCACGCGATTTATCATCAAATTTTGACAACGATTCAGTGATAGATTTGAGTTCCAACAGATTTTATGGTCCACTACAGAATGTCTCTTCGACTTTGGCACTGTTAAACCTTTCCAGAAACAAATTCAATGGAGGAATCTCTTTTTTATGCCAAATGGTTGATGGGTTTTTGGAAGTTCTTGACCTCTCCCATAACCTTTTCACCGGAAAACTTCCAGACTGTTTGTGGCATCTCAAACTACTAAAAGTCCTTAATCTAGGACACAACAATCTATCTAGAAGACTTCCTCCATCAATTGGATATTTGAGAGAACTTGAGGTGCTGGATTTATACAAGAACAACTTTTCTGGAGAATTGCCATTATCCTTGAAGAATTGCACGAGTTTAAACTTAATGAATTTGGGGGCCAACAAGTTTTCTGGTAATGTGCCTGTTTGGATTGGGGAAAACTTATCCGGGTTGTATGTTCTTATCCTAAGATCAAACAACTTCTTCAGAACCATCCCTTTACAGTTATGTTATCTTGCAAATCTTCAAATTTTGGATTTGTCAATGAACAATCTCCAGGGAACCATCCCCTCATGTTTGAATAATCTTACAAGCATGGTTCAAGAAGGATTCTTACCACCACCACCCAACATATATTCCATTTTAACTGATTGGATAATGAAAAAGTCAGGAAATGGTTATTCAAATTCCAGCGAGTATGTTGACCATGCAACGATTGAGTGGCAAGGAGATGAACGTGAATTCAGCAGAAGTCTGAGATTGTTGAAGAGCATTGACATGTCAAGCAACAACTTAACAGGAAAAATCCCATATGAACTTACCGATCTCTATGACTTAATTGCACTCAACTTATCGATGAACAGTCTTCTTGGAGAGATTCCATTGAAAATTGGTCAGATGAAAAAACTTTTAACATTGGATTTATCTAGAAACGTTTTATCAGGAGGGATACCATCAAGTTTGTCTCAAATGAGTTTATTGAGTTACCTAGACGTGTCATTTAATAACTTCTCAGGGAGAATCCCAACTAGCACTCAACTCCAGTCTTTTGAACCTTCAAGATACGATGGAAATGCAGCACTATGTGGACCTCCCCTTTCCAAAAGATGTATAGGAGATGAAGAATCAGAAGTACCATTGGTGGTTGGTAAAAGCAAGGGTGAGGGGGAAGACGTGGATGAAGTTTGGAATTGGTTTCGTATTGGTGAGGGCTGTGGTTTTGCTACTGGATTTTGGATAGCATGTGGAGCTTTACTTATCAATAGTCATGGGAGACGAGTTTTTTTTCACTTTTATGATGGCGTCGAAGATTGGGTTTGTGGGAAGGTGATGGTATTCATTGAAAATTTTCGGAGGGTTGCATATATGTAGTTGTCTATATATTTAGTACTTCTTTTGTATCATGTATGATTTTTTTATAACCTATATAAGTGTTCTTATTTTGGACTAAAGGTGTAGTAATGTAAGACCTTTCATGTTTTAGTTGTATTTGGTAGGGTTTCTAAGTGCCCTTTATCAATAAATTTCCCTTCAACACCATGGGTGGCTATTTCCCCTGGTTGCATGAAAGAAGGTACCCTAGAAATTTTTATTTATTTATTTATTTTTTTTCTCATAAGGTTGTGCGGAGTGTAGCACACCACACCGAGGGTGTGGGAAAGGTGGTGAGGGAAATGCTCCCCGCATTCTCTCTCCTCCTCTGATTGGCCAGGTTTTGTTTTTGTTTTTTTATTGTTTATTAAATTATATACCTACTAAAAATTATGAAAAATATATCAAAATTTATGGTTTTTAATTCGAATTCTTGAACTTCAGTCACACTACGGATATTCTCGGGAATTGGAGTTGGATCCTTGCAAGTAAAAAAAGTAAGCATTTTTTGAAGCAAAGTTTATTGCTAAATAAATAGAAACGTACTTTTGTTTCTAAATATACAACAAATAGATGAATGAGAGTGTGTTGCTATTTTTGGCATTCACTTATTTTTCTTACTTTTTTAAGTATGGTTAGGCCTTGAACAATCTCATATTAGCTTCTTCCTCTTCCAGCCTCTTTCTTTCTTCCGTATCCCATTGCATTTCCTCTTCATGTCTCACCATGCTCTCTAACTGAAACTGTTCGGGTTTCGTGCATTATTTTGGCTCTAGTTTAAGAGGAACGTTTATATTAAATTCAAGTTTATCCATATAAATTCATGTCTTTTAATTTAATTTCATTCCATGTATAAGTTACATTATAATGTTTGTAGCCCAGAACAGAAAAAAGACTAAACTGACATTTAATCCAAGAACATAATCCCCATGCTTGAAATAAGCAGGACTCTTTGCAACTCTCCTTTCAGCAGTACCCATATCATCTGTACACCAATCCATGAAATCTCAATTGCATACAATGTACAACTTTGTAATTCATATCATGTTAGTTTACTACAGCTAGATATAGTAATATTATCAATATGTGAGTATATATAGAAAAGAAAAAATCTGCCACACAAATCCAGCTTACAAGAAGCCTCAAATGACAACTAGTTCTCAATGCCCAATAATTCAACACTTGTCCAGAACAACAAACTCATTCAATAATAGATCTTACAACAAGCACAAATCCATTATATATAACTAGCTACATAGTAAGGAACAGTCAATGACCATTTTACCCTTCACACTGGACTTAAGTCATTATGTTTGTATTAGGTCAAAAAGCAAAATGAACAGGTTAATAGAAAAAGCCAGGGAAATGAGATTTTCCTCATTTACCCAAATGTGTCGTAATTTTCTTAAATATTTTTTAAAGATAAATTATCCATACATCACTTAATAGGAAAAAGGAAAGAAAGAGGGCCACATGTAAACCACACTAGTTGTTGTTATTTGAAGGTTGGGTAAATGCACATAACTTTATCCCATTTCTTATTTTAGGCAATGTTTGTTTTTTAGTTAAAAAGAAACAAAAAGGATGATAAATATAGCAGATAACTTTTTTAAGATGTCCCTATAAAAAAACATGAAAGTACATTGCTATTTCTTGTATATAGCCTTAGAGAAATGAATATACCTGTTCATATGACCTTTGAACTTCTTGTAAAGATCCATCAAATCACACAGATGACCTCTGTAATTGGATTCAAACTCTTCAATATCAGCTTCTGTAACCTACAAAGCATTAGTTTTTCCCACTTTATATTAGTGTAATGTTATAATAAACAATCCAAAATATTGTATCGCAAAAGTCAAATTAACAAATTAACAAATTATCTTTTTGAATTTGTCTTTTAAGTATGTATCGGCTGTAAAGCTTGGGCAAGGGGAAACCTTTAGGTTCTTCTTGATTTTATCATTTTGAATTGAATCATTCAGTTCTAGAAATCAATACAACTGTTGTATTGATTTTATTTCTCAAAGTTCTTAGCTTATCTCCATCATTTTGGCTCCCTTGCCGGGAAATCGAATAGACTCCTCCACTTTCTCCACCATGGTACAACCCACTGAAGCAGAGATTCAAACCAGGTTGCAAACCACGATCCACTCCCATGAAGAGAGGCTTAATCAACTTAGCGACCAGATGAAAGATTTAACAGGCTCTGTTCGTGCTTTGCAGACTCTAATGACTGATCTACCCAAGTAGATGGAGGCAACGATGGAGAAAATGATAGCAAACATCCAATTAACCTCGACTCCCTCAAAATCCAAACCAACTTCTGGAAGTACAGGGTCAGTTATTTGAAACCATACCCTAATCTCCACCTCCGAGTCCACGTCCATTTACCTAGTCCATTCATAAGCCTAGTTACTCCATTGGGTTTTTGAGTCCGGCCCATATCTGCCCACCTAATAAGCCGGGTCCCACAATTATAAATGGGATCCCTTATATGAGGCACTTAACTTGTACGGAATGGGAAGACAAAAGGAAACGAGGGTTATATTTCAAATGAGGATGAGGATTGAAGTACCCTCCCTAGCATAAGTGCGCCAACAGAGGCCTACGCATCCTCCTGCTTGCAGACAGCGAGACTCTTGACGAAGACTGAGAGGCTTGTCGCGCTGAAATCAGGGAAGAGGACGAGACTATCGAGGACGAGTGCTCCTCTCTGGAACCATGGAACAAATCCCTAGAGCTATCAACGATTAAACTCACAAAGTGCGGCTTCTCGGTCTTAGTTCTTGTGGATAATGGTGCCACTCATAATTTCTTGTCAAAGCAGGTCGCCATCTCTCTCGGGTTAAATGTATCACCCCCTCGGCGCGTGTATATATATATATATATATATATA